ATTTTGACAACCCAAAAAGGCAGAGTGATTCATACTCTGCCTGTCAGTTAAGTTTCATAGAACATGTCCCTTCTATCTCTGAACTGAAGTCCACTCTGGACTTCCTTTGTAATAAAAGACATCAAAGCAAAATAATGTAAAGCAGACAGAAACGAATGAGGGATAGTTAAGTGTCATGCATAAGAAAATCCAAAGAATTTGTGTCAGCCCCAAAGGGAAGGGACAAGAAAATGGAGAACAGCAAGGAACTGATGACATGAATGAACCTATTCCCCAGTGTTTGAGATATGAAAAATTATGCTGCACAAACAAGACCTTGAAAATAAAAATGACCAAGAGGACATGTCCTTTTGGAAATCACAGAGACCCTGGAAATGGATCTGGTATTGTTCAGGTCGGGCTTCTGAGGGCTCATCCTTAGTAATGAGTGGAAACTTGAAGCACTCATTACTGGATGAAGGCAACCTATGCAAACTTCTGATCAACAGAACCATTGTAGAAGAAGGAGAGAAGGAAGGAAATAGGGAAGATGGCTCAATAGTTAAGAGAGCTTGTTGTTCTTACAGAACCTCTGAGCTCAGTTCCCAGCACCCAAGTCCTGTAGCTCACTTTTACCTGCAGCTCCAAGGGGGAGGAGGAGCAATGTCTTCTTCTGTACTGTTCAAGTGCACCCATCTGCACAGATACCCATACATTTGACACACAATTTAAAACACTTTTCAATAGGAAACTTATATAATAAATATCTATACAAAAAAGAAGAAAAATATCAGTCTACATCACATACACACACATAGACTCACCACACACACACACATATACACACACACACACACAAAGAAAAACTGGAAGCAGAAGTTAAAATCAAAATAATCATGAGAAAAATAATATCCAATTAGTAAAAATAAAATACAAAAGGAAAAATTATTTAAAGAAACAATGATATGTTTATTTAAGATGTGCATTGATAAGCTGTTACCAAGACTGGGCAGGGGGCTTACATATATAAAGTAGAAGAACACAGAAGGTGCAGCAAGATGATGCACACAGAAAGTAAATGAACTGTAACAGACTACCGACAATGTCACACCAGCATATGATTGGCCTATAAAACAAATGAGAGAAGTCCTTGAAACTTTCAACCTCCCCCAAATTAATCATGTGGAAAACAGAAAATTTTGACAAATCTACACCTGTCATGGAGACTAACTTACTCATCGAAAACTCAGAGGAAAGATCAGGGAAACCAATACTTCAATTGGTGAATACTACCAAATGTTTTAAGAATACTGAATACCAAGCCTCAGTCTCTCATAACAAAACAGAACAACACAAACCATGTTTGAAACCAGTATCTCCTTCATACAAAGCCAGGCATGGGCATCACAGAAAGGGGAGACAGACAATGAAAGGCCTGTCTCTGGTGAAGAACTAAAATTCTCCCTAAGATTAACAGCAAGGGGCTATTAATGATACTGTGTTTCTTATCATTTACATCAGTATGTCATGTACTTGGATTTGAGATCCAAGTGAACAAAATGTGCCCAACGTGAAAAATTCCCTGCACTATTTTTACAAAATTCAAAGATAACTGTTCTTTAATCTTAGCTTTTGAGAGGCATCCCTGGGACACCAGAATTATATAAAATGAATACAAGAGTGAGAATCGTTCCAGTGGAGTTGAACAGCAGACTATAAAATAAAGTAGCCCTCTAGTAGATTTAGTTTACTAGTGTCTAAGAGTTCTAAGTTCTATGTCAAAGCCAGAAAGTAAATAACACAAGCAGTCACTATTGCTAAAGGAATGGCAAACTGGGGCTGGCTTCTGTTTTCATAAAACACAGAATAGTCATCAAAAGTAGTGATTACCACATCTATTTTGCACCAAACAAAAGAATTAATTGTTCTTCTCTCTCAAACTGCAGGGCAATTGTCACACTTATCTTTTTGCAATCTTCGTGTTTTCTTTGCATATTCCTTTTTTCCTGAACCTCAGACAAAACTAAGATTCAGATTCTCATTGCAGAGGGGTGAGGAAACCTTCAAAGCAAGATGGGCTAAATGGATACTTCCCTATGGCGGTGCTGCAGCATGAAATATACTCACTTGGTATTTACTGCTTCTGATTCAGTATCACTGAAGAGAACAACCAATCATCATACATATTTAGGAATTATCAATGGTGGATCACCTGGAAGAGTAGTTTTTCAAATGCATTGACGGCTATCACTATTGCCTGAGTGCAGTGCAGTACACACATACACACACACACACACACGCGCACACACACACACACACACACACACACACTTTTAACTGTGTGTGAGCATAAGTTATGTAGGCTATTCTTTTTCCACATCTGATCTTGGACTCTGACTCCTTGTAGTTAGGTAAGACTCACCCACTGCAGACCTCAGTCACAGTCATGGCTACAGAGGTTGAGTTTTAACAAGGATTTAAAGAATACAAAATTATGGAAAGAAACTAAACCTATTAGTAGTAATAAATCTTTTAAATGTCTACATACTTTTGCTTACTGTTTTCAGCTTTATAATCAGTCTCTGTGAGAGAGAAGGGTTAGCTAGACTAACTATGCAAGAGAGTGAATGCAAACACAGACCAAGCAGCTCGTGCTGGCTTTTTTTGTTGTTGTTGTTTTTCTAGAAACTCAGCCAGCCAGGTTTATCTGCAGACTGTCTCCCTGGCTGTGAATTCACCATATTATCTTGGGTCCTACACCCCAGAAGTTTTATATTCTGAAATAGAACATTCCAAGACCGAGTAGAAGTTAAATATTATGAGTCACTACTAAAGGGAGATGGGCTTAAATTGAATCTTGGGTTCTTTTAAAAACGAACAAAGTATGTTTAATCAAATATTAGGGGGAACAATATTTTGGCATTTAATAGCCAGTACCTGACTTCATGTCTGGCCTTCCCTTCTTCCTCACCTGACTATGCATGTCCACACATGACTCCTGCCCTTGTACCTTTGTGTAGGCTACACAAAGCTGTATGCCAGGCTCCTATTCGTCCTTTGAAGCCAACAGAAGCAAGCTGTCATCTGTGAGGCCTGTGGACCTCTTCCCCTGGAGTGAGTCACCCTTCTCTGATAGAGCTTCTTTTTTAAAATTTTATTTTATTATTTGTTTTCAGTACATCCCAACTATAGTTTCCTTTCATCATGTTCATTTTACATATTGCTTTGGCAGATCCCTTGACAATAAAGATGTCAGTTTTTCCTGATCCTAAAACTACCAGTTCCATAGAACAGTGTCTGTACAGGAATTCATGAAATCAGAAGTTGTATCTCTACCAGTAAAACTTTAAACTAAAATAAATTTTAGTTAGCTATCTCTCTTGGCGAGTGCAGAATCTGTCAGAAAAAAAGGTGTGAAATGTCTCTGAAAGTCCTCTATGTGTATCATTTTATTTATAAGCCATAGAAAGTCACATAATCTCTAGATGGCCATACCACACAGTTTGCTTAGGATTTCCTGTAGGGCAATTATGCCTGGCAATTATTTTGAAGAATATTACCTCTCTCGGAAGCATCTCAGTTTGAATGGCAGAGTATGCTATCCACGAATTTCCAACGGTAAATTAAAGACTCTCAGAGGCCAAATACCTAGTTGCTAAGACAGGGTCCTTTCTCCTAATTCATGGCCAGAGAAAGTACAGTTTTGCTTTGGCTGGTAGCTGGAGCTGTAGGACATGTGTGTTTCCCTAGATATCCTTCCCTAGAGATTTTCTTTTCAGCAAAAATTTTCAGCAGGTTATGGCTGGCATCTCTGTCCCTCAACAGAGTTTAGCCTTAGTTGCAAGATGCTCATGCTCACAGGAATGACCTATAACCAATGGCTGATAGCTACAGAGAAGTCAACTCCATTGTCCTGTCTAAACCAAGGGCTATCCTGAAGAACTCCCTCCTCCAAAATTCTAAGGCAATTAAGAGTCCCATTGAACATCTACACCACAAAGCCTCCTGAGGGAATTTCCCAATAAACCTTACCTGTGCTAGTCTTAATTTCAGTCTGCATCCATGTTACATGACAACTCCCTTCATGTTTCCATCAGATGCTGGCTAGCAACTGTGCTAGACACAGGACCCTTCAATTTTATTGAGGCAAGCATAGTTTGTGCAAAGGTTCTTCAGTCCTACCTTATATATATTATTTCTATAATCCAATTAGTTCTTCTTAAGAACAGTAGAAAAATGAACAATAAGAAATTATATAGAACAATAATAATATACTGTACTAAAGATATTTTCAGATATAAGCTATTTTTTTAATTTTCCATGTAATTATTTCAGTTGACAGTTGGATATAAAGAGTTAAAGCCACAGGGGCAAAACCATGGATATACAGGGATGACTGTATCCTGAGATTTTGTCCGTTTTAGTAATGGCGCAATCAACAGTGATGACAGACGTGTCATCAATGAATATGGGTGTAGCACAGAATCAAACAAAACAGACCTTGAAACAAATACTTAAAAACTTTGAGTGGTTCCCCCAGCAGGGAAACTTATGGCACTATGCCCCATTTGGAGAAGACAAATCGCTATCCAATCTGCCTTGGCTTTTTACCCCTTCAAACAGCTCCAGATCTCCACATCACATATCTCCTACCATCTGAATTCTAACTTCAAGTACCCCATTGTTGTCAACTCTACTCCAACCAACACACCACTCTATCTTCTTTCGAGCTTCTAAATTAATGTGCAGTGCTTATTTAGTTCCTCCAATCCTACCTTTCTAACTGAGATTTAGATTCTTCTACAACCAACTATGTACAAATACTCTGGTTCCGACTTCAACTTTCCAAACTCCCAAAATTACACGTACTCCTAAAAACTCACAAAACCAACTCTCAACGTCAGTTTCCATAAAATCACCTACTCCTTTTTAGGTGACTATATTTCATACAAAAAAAAGCAGTCCAGCAAGTGCTCAAAATCATCGCAAGAAGATGCAAGTAGAAGAAACCAGTCACCTACTTTGTTCATGTACTCAGACAGCAGGTCCTGGAGAGCCTGGCGGATGGCATTGCACTCAGCGATAATCCGTTCTCGGTGGAAGTCCCTGGTGCAGGAAGAGTCAGCCAATAGTGCAGCCCCACTGATGATGGCTTCTAGGCGTTTCTCTAGTGATGGTCTTATTTCTTCCTCTGTTACTGTGAGCGGGTTCAGGACAATTAAATTCTGGGAAAAGAAAAGATTTGGGTGGTTAGGACTCCATGGAAGTCCTTTCTTAGAAATCGAAAAACAACGAACGAAAAGCAAGCATTGTTTGCTTTGTGCTTAGAATTCAGGTGTATTAAAATAGGGAGAATTACGTTTTTCCAGCCTCAGCAGTTCACACAGAAGACTACATAGCAATATTGTTCAGATGGATGATAAAAGTTGTATGTTTATGAGCTTGAGTTCTATTGTCAGTCCTGGATTCAAAGCTTGCCCTTCCCACTCACCAAAGCGCCTTGGCTTCCCTATTCCTCTCTTTCATCTGTAAAACTACAGTATTTATGTTGCTTACTCCATAAAACCACCAGAATTATACAAACACTTAACACAAATGGCAACATCTCTGAGCTGCCAAACCATTTCTCACACACACTATCTTATCTTAACAATGAGGATGCAGGCAGCAAGGTGTGATTTTAGCCACATGTTTCAGTGGCTATGTGAGGCTGAGAGGCTCTTACTCAAGGTCAAAGAGCAAATAAGCTTTGAGGTTCAGACACACAACTCTGTCTTATAGTTCACAATTCAATGTCATTTCCATTATATCTCACTGTAAGTCACAGGCACTAATTAACTTCACCAGTAACATATCAAAGAAAATTCTGGCTTTTAATTATTCATTTAAAAATTAGAACTCCAGTGGCTGGAGAGACGACTCATCAGCAACAGCATAGTCAGCTCTTGCAGACTATCAGAGTTCAGCTGCAGCACCCATATTGGGCAGCTCACATGCACTGGAACTCCAGCTCTATGGGATCTGATGCCCTTTCCTGGACTCTACGGGCACCTGCACTGCACATCCTCACACAGACACAAACATACACACACACACACACACACACAATTAAAAATATTTTCAAAAAGGAAAGTCCATCTTCCTATTGACCTATTAACTTGCAGAGATCCCAAGCTACAAAGTTGTCCTGTGACCTCCACCCTTCACTCACTCATACACCCACGCACATGCTTGCATACACACATGCACACACATACATACACACATTGTTTAATAATAAGGTAAAGCAAAGAGGCACATTTGAATAGTTACACTTAAAAGAGAAATTCATTTCAGAAAGGCATAGAGCCATGGTAAAGCATAGAGCTCTGGCATGCTCACACACTATAAAATAAACTATAAACCAGAACAAAGACCTTAATATGCTGTGTCTTAATTAACTTACAGTGCTCAGGAATCCTCCTTTCCAGGCTCTATTCTCTTAGCCTAATAGAAATCCACTGTGATCTTATTAAAAAATAATATTTTTCAAAAAGGAGTTTGAACAGAGGCTGTTTGCAAGATAATGTTGCACTAGGTAGCCCAGACAGGGGTATCTTTGAGTTTGAGACCAACATGGTCTACAGAGCGAGTTCTAAGACAGCCAGGGCTACACAGAGAAGCACTGTCTCAAAAAAATGAAGTTTTTACTTCATGTTATTTTCAGATCAAGAAAAAGGCAAAAAAGGTTTAAATAACTTATAAGGCAAAAAAGGTTTAAATAACTTATATACATATAGAGAGAAATATATGTACATATATAGATAGAGACATATATCGCACAGAAGCAAACAGAGTGGGAGTTACCAGTAGCTAATGGGTGGAGCAGTAACTGAGGAGGTCCTGAGCAAAGAATTCTAAGTTTCAGTTAGACAGGAGGAGTAAATTCATGTCCTCTATTGTAAATTTCAGTGACTGCAGTTAATATCATATTCATGCTTGAAATGCAGGCAGTTAATTGTAAGTGTTTTTAAGTGCATCGACTTACACTTCCACATTATAATGCATCACTGAAAGAAGTCATGACAGGAATTCAAGTGGAGTTGGACCCTGGAGGCAGGAGCTGATGCAGAGGCCATGGAGGGATGCTGCTTACTGACTTGCTCGTCATGGCTTGCTCAACCTGCTTTCCTGTAGAACCGGCTGCCCCCCATCATCAATCACTAATTTTAAAAATGCCTTACAGCCAGATATTATGGAGACATTTTCTTAACTGATGCTCCCTTCTTCCAGATGACTCTAGCTTGTGTCAGGCTGACAGGAAACTAGACAGCAGAGCACTGAGACCATCTTTGTGTCTACCAATGAGTACAGGGATAAAGAAATTGTCTCATCCTGTGTGTGCAGATTCTGGTATACATACATTCACCAGAACATCGTATGGTCATAAAAAATGGATGTTCTCGCTATAATTTTTAAAAAGTGGCCTAAGAGAAAAAGAAGCCATATGACAGAGCTCGTGTGGAGGGTTTTTTTAAATAGGTAAAAGGGAATGGGAAAAGGGGGGAGGGGAGTGAAGAGACTAGCCTCTGAGGACAGGAGAAGCAGAAAAGAAAGGCAGAGAGGGAGAGGAGACAGAAAAACAGGAAGAGAAGCAGAAAGAGAGATGGGGGAGAGAGGGAGGGGAGAACAATGGGAGGCAGGCAGGGCCCTTTTAAAGGGGAGCATAATGAATAAGCAAAGGAGGTGCTCTTAGTGGCTGTAGCTGAGGATGTTGGACCCTGTCCGAACCCCAAGGGCAGGTCAGTACAGATGCCTGAATACTAACAGTCCTGACATGTGTGACCATACAGATGAGCCGGGAGGACATTAAGCTAAAATGACCTGAGTCTCTTTCTCCTCTCCACCCCTCACACATGATGCATGTGATATTACATATATGTGTGATATAAATATTCAAAATCTTTCAAATAGGGTGGGATGGAATACAGTTTGCAGAGGCTGTGGCCATTTTCTTCATCAGAAGGTACAAATGTTCAGTGCACGCATGTATCTCTGTGTGGTTATGTACTGTACACAGGTGCACCTGCAAGAAACAAATCTCCCTGGAGATAGAGTTACAGTTGTAGACCATGTGATATCAGAGCTGGAAACCAAATGTAGGTCCTGGGCAAGAAGAGTATAGTCTCTTAACCACCAAGCCATCTTTCCAGGTTACTTATTAGTATTTTTATATTTAAAATTTAACCAGAAACATATTCATAATAAAACCCATCATTCATATTTTGCTATTTTCCCAGAGTTTAAAATGTGTGTAGAAAAAAACTTGCCTGCGCATAAACATTTATAGATGTGTTAATGATTGCAAAACTTAGACACAAGTAAACTGCCATCGAGTAGGTGAATAAATAAACTTTAGTGCATTAATGCAACAGAATATTATTCAGTACTAAAAAGAAACATGACACCAAGCATGAAAAGACGTGGAAAAAAAGATAAATGCATACTGTAAATACAAGAAAGCAGACTGGAAATGTGACATTGAATCCTGCATGATTCCAACCTAAAGCCCAAAGAAGAAAGGAAACTATGGATACAGTAAAGATGTCAGTGGTTTTCAGGACAGAGAGGGAAAAGGGACAAATAGGCAGAGAAATAAACTGGGGTTTTTAAGACATCACACATACTTAGAATGACATGGTTACAATGGTTGTATGTCATATACATTTTCAAACCGTGTATAACAGCAAGTGACCCACCTGCAAACTGTGGAGAAGACAGAAACTAATGTGGTAGTGTAGGTTGAACAGCTGTAACAGCTGGACCACCCTTACCGAAGATGCTGATGACGACAGACAGAGGCTATGCCTATGTTGAGGCAAGGTGCACATGGGGATATTGCTCTATTGTCCGTTGTATTATGGAGGCAAATTTTCATTTTAGCAGTAAAGGGCTACAGAGACAGCACAGTTGATAAAGTGCTTGCTGCAGCATGAGGACCAGAGGTGTCTCTAGCACCCATGTAAAATTATCTTAGTGCTGACAAAGAAAAAGGCAGGAGGATTGTGCTGAGAGAGATTTGCAGGCCACATAAGCACTGTGATACAGGTTCAATGAGAGACCTTGTCTCAGCAAACAAAGTAGAAAGTAGTTCAGGAGGACACCTAATATTGGCCTCTGGCCTAAACACACATACATGGACACACAAATAAGAAGTGGGCTGCAGAACTAAATAGAGAGTTTTCAATAGAGGAGTCTAAAATGGCTGAGGGGCACTTGAGAAAGTGCTCAACATCCTTAGCCATCCGGGAAATGCAAATCAAAGCAACTCTGAGATACCATCTCACTCCTGTCAGAATGGCTAAAATCAAAAACACCAATGACAATTTATGCTGGAGAGGATGTGGTGAAAGGGGGACACTCCTCCATTGCTGGTGGGAGTGCCAACTGGTTCAGCCACTTTGGAAAGCAGTATGGAGATTCCTCAGAAAAATGGGAATAAACCTACCACAAGACCCAGCAACTGCACTCTTAGGCATATATCCAAAAGATGCCCATTCATATAACAAAGATGTCTGTTCCACTATGTTCATAGCAGCTTTATTTGTAATAGCCAGAACTTGGAAGCAACCTAGATGTCCCTCACCCGAAGAATGGATAGAGAAAATGTGGTACATCTACACAATGGAGTACTATTCAGCAGAAAAAAATAATGGAATCATGAGATTCGCAGGCAAATGGATGACACTAGAAGAAACCATCCTGAGTGAGGTAACCCAGTCACAAAAAGAGAAACATGGCATGTACTCTCTCATATATGGATTTTAGACATAGATCTGGGGAGTGCCAGCCTACAATCCTATTGCCAGAGAGTCTGGGAAACAGAAACTTCATTTACTGGCTGGTTAAGTACTGAGCTGAACTCAAGAAAGCCAGTATCAGAGAGGGAGGACTGATGATCAAAGGGATTAAGACTGGGCTGGTTGAACCCCCAGAAACAGCTGACCAGACAAAGGTTAACTCTTGAATCCCAGGCATCAGCCTGGGAATCCAGCATGGGACTGATCAAGACCCCCTGAATCTGGGTGTCAGTGAGGAGGCCTAGGTAATCTATTGAGCCTTGGACAGCAGATCAGTACCCATCCCAAGTATACACACGGTCTCTGGACTCCCATAGAACAATGTGAGGTGCACTCTCACCCTGAACTCTTGGGGAAGGGTCTAGGCCCTGCCCTATATGAAATGA